AAAGGGGAAATCTTGACGATGAGGCCTCTAACCCTCTACTTTAAGGAGGCATAAAAAACTCTGTGATTTGTATTATATAAAATGTATTTTGTGAACTTTTGATATATGTATATAAAAACTGATAAAAACAAGTAAGAAAGAGCTTAGTCCGGTTGTAACCGAACATTTAATACTCTTGCAATTTGCAAGGATCAGAGCCAGGTGTTGGCAAAACTTTATATTAAGAAATGCAGCGCAAAGATTCAATTTCATTGTTCGACGAAATGGTAAATGGATTACAATCAAATTTCGTAACATATTAACTTATTTTGAAGGTCATAGACTCACTTAATTTTATTACTATATTTTACTTCCCGTCCGCAAAAATTATACAAAAATCATTGGGGTATAGTTATGTCAGAGCTGATTGCAATAATTTTTGACATTGCTCAGGAACTTATTTTCCAGCAATTTTATAAATATATAAATATGAACATATGTTGTATGTACATATATGGAGTAAAGTCAGCCAGACGTTACAAAATCGTGAATATCAGTTATATGGGAGCTAAGGCAAGTTTTCGCCCGATTTTATTCAGTTTAGGTACTAAGAGACACTGTTGTTAGAATATACGATTTCTCAATTCCATGAAAAAGACTAGCACATTGGCCGATATATGTGGTATAAAGTCATTATTGACACAAAGATGTATTATTATCAAAAAAAAACAAAAAATTTCGACGAATTTCAGTTATACAATACATATGGCTCACTGAATGGCCGATATTTTCGGCGAAAAGTCGGCTATAAACCCTGGATCAACATTTCCGGTATCTGAGGGCTTGAATGGTTATTGTACGATTTGGACAATTTTTAGCCCTGAAATGGCATAATTTTAAGAAAATATTTGCAAATTTTTATTTCGATATATTAATTAATACTTGATTTGTATGCTGGAAAGTGAAAAAACCAGATGATTTAAAGTTGTTTTATATAGAAAATAGGCGTCCGATTTCGCTCATTTCGCTGCACTGTAACAAGGGAATATCAAAATAATCTTTTGTAACAAATTTCGTTGAAATTGGTGGAGTAGGTTCGGAGATATGTGATTTGAGCTTAATGTGGACGGTGCCTATTCTATCGATTCTTCTCCATCTAGTTCTTAAAAATATTGGATCAATATTAAAATTGTATTTTGTATGTATGACAAGTTAAGTATTAAAACAATCGGCCAATAATTTGAAATTTATAATAATTTTTTGGTATTCTTCAAAATATTCGGTACAAAGTAAAAATACTATATGAGCAGAGCCTTTGGCTTAAATAAAAGATCGGAACCTACACAAAAAGTCGTTGCCAAAAAGCATCTTAACTAGAATACTGTCTAAGTTTCAAGAAACTTTATACAATATTTATTTCAGTTATTGGTCTCAAAGTAAAGCGACCTCTGATGCTTTCGTTTACAATCGAAAAAAGTGAATGCCATGTTTCCATAAAAACATGGTTTCTTCTTGGAAAAAACGTCGACGACGACTGATATATTAAATAATTATGCTATAGACTAGTTCTCTAAACTCTTTATTCTTTATAGTTGATCCCAAAAACCTATTTCTCATACCCACGGTCAAAAAGTGGCTCATTGCAATAAGATTCCACGCAAATGGCGGGATCAAAATAGAAAAAAATGTTTGTTTTGAATAACTCAAAGCTTTGCCTATTGAATTGCTTTAGAAATGTTTGAAGGCCATTTTAACAAAAACTACAGCTTCTGGTACAAGATTATATACATATACTTGTATGTATGTATATACTCGTAGAGGCATTGAGCTAGAATTTCACCAAACAAAACCTTCTTTCATTGTTAGGCCAAAGATTTCTGAATGCATTTTGTATACGAAATATATATTTATTAGTGAAAAAACCTTCTTTGCAATTTATGCTAAACATAAATACCTTAAACTAATTATAATTATAATTTCATTTAACTATAACTATAATAGCTCAAAAATACTTTAAAGATATTGAATTTTTTTAACAACAAAAATGTTGCTGTAGAGACCTTTACACTTTTGCTATGACGTCAGAAGAAGAGTGAATGTCATATAACTTGAGCAAAATTTTATAAAAGAGATATACTGCTGCTAATCATTAAAATAATTAAGTATCAGCTTAGATATGTTGGCAGTGGACTTAATACAAAATTCACATTAAATTTCAATTACAGTCGTTAAAATTCTATAGCATGATGTATGTATGTATATAGCAATGCAAAAATAAACTAGTTTTCATAGTATTTATTAGATTTCTCGAGAAAAATGTAATTTGTAAATGACAGCAATAATACAACTACCGAGAATTGTAGTTCATTCTCGGAACAACATGGCGTATAAGTGATCTTCGCAGCTACGAATGCTAACCACTTTGAATTTCAAAATTTGCCATTTAAAATTTTAAAATATGTATTGTACATGCATAGAAATAACTGCAGAAATGAGGGCATATTTGAAAGCTTTTCCTTGACATTTGCATTTTGTAATTTTCTTGAACCAAACATTTAAATGCGCTTCGCTTGAAGTAATGCTCTCTTAAGCAAATTGAATGAGGTTGCTGAATGCAGTTCGCACGAAATTCAGAATTGAATAAGATTATAATTTTTTAGGATAAGTATATATATGTACGTACATATATATACAATCATGAGCAGAAAAATATAATTTATTATATTAAATTTGAAATAATAAACATAAATAATAATTATATTTTTATTAGAGAGGAATGTGGGTAGTTCGTAGGCGACCTTAATAAAAATGAGCTTTTAAAATTTAGTAATCAAAACGAAAAGTGAAAATTTTAATATTTAAAACTCAAATTTTGTTTGACGTTTATAGCACTTCATATTCTAGAAAAAATGTCAAGCTGGCAACACAGATTAGTTACAATGAATTTAAAAATTTTTGAAAAATCAAAAGGTAGCTTCTCTTATGTGCATAACTTTTATAATGTGTTTTTATAACATTTTTTAGCCTTTTAAATTTCAAAGATTTATTTTTCTAAATTTTTTTAACAATATTAAGCATCTTAGACCAATTATCATGCATAAATTCAAATAAATCAGCCAGCATAGATAATTTGAATAATCATCAGAAGAGGCTCTGTTCCTATACACAAAAATTCAAAATTTTCGATATAAAATTGGAAAATTTTTTTCCTGATGACCAAATATTTTTTTACATAACTGCATAGCTAAATATCCAGTTGTCAATATCCAATGTTCTTAAAGACATAACCGCAAATATTGTGCTCAAAAAATCCACAATGCAAATCTTAAATATATTTTGCAGTAGTAATATATTTTTATTTACATACTCCAAAGTTTTTGTTCTTTTATTAAATAAAGAAATTTTGAATTTTTCAAATAATCCCTACTGATAATCTTTAATAAAACAGATCAGTCACCATAGATTGATTGAATTAATATCAGAA